AGCAGCAGCAGCAGCAGCAGCAGCAGCTGCGAGCGGGGCCGCGCTCACGCACCTGGAATACCCGCACACAGGCCGGCGCTGTCGGATGGGCCTAAAATTGGTCCGAGCAACGCCGCCAGGCTTCTTTCCATGCGCCAAAAGCTCTCTCTCTCTCACAGTGGCTCGCCTCGCCGGATCCTCTCCAAATAAAAAGTGGACTCGCTGCCGCAGGGTCCAGCTGAGATTAGGCATTCTGTCTTTAGAAAGCGCGGTCCTTCTCACTCATCCTCACGATCACATCTCGAGGCCAGCATCCAGCGAGGAGGATGTGTCAGGAAGATGGTCGGCTGCGTTCGGCAGCGACGGCGAGCCTCGAAAGTAGCGATTTGCCTCTACAAGCCCAACCGCACCGAGAGGCGGCAATGTGAACAGCCGATGAGCAAGCCAGCTGCGTCTGCAGTCGATTCCAACACGTGCGCACGTTTTCGCCTCTGAAGCGCTCCTGATTCGTTGGCTCGCCTGGCGGCCTGGCGGCGGTGGCGCGACGACTCAGCACTGTCGAGTCGAGCTTACGAACAAAATGGGGAAGCTCGCCTCCGACATGTGAGACCGGCAGTTGCCTCGAGCGCATGATCAAAATCCGGTCTTCATGTAGAAAGCCGTTCAATTTTCGCTCGAAGTTGCCGTGGCCAATTGTTGCCGGCTGGCTTGGCTGCCTGGCTGACTGGTGTGGAATTGGCTTCGAAAATCGGCTGGCGCGTCCTGGCTCAGCCCGATGCTAAGCTACAGTGCGCTCTCAACTGCGACGCGCGGCTAGGGCCACCGCCCGTCGAAAGGAAAAGAACAGAAAGGGCACAGACAGCGCAGCACAGCGCAGCGGAAGCGAAATTGGAAATCCAATTTACCCACCGGAGCCACCCAACCGCGCAGCCGCCGCCGCCTCTTTTGCTCTCTCTGCCTTGGCTTTGAGACTGGCTGCGGGCTGAGCATTGGCATGTTGCGCTCTTCTCTGTTGCTCTTTTGCTCGTTCCGCTCGGTCCATCGTCGCGTCCATCAATCCTCGATCTGGCATCTGCTCACCATTTTCCTCCTCCACCCACGCATCCAACCCGGTCAAACATCCTCACCTTCTCCCTTCATCCCCTCATCCATCCCCCACTCGACTCCATCGCATCGCATCGCACCGCATTTCACCGCGTTGTGTGCCCTACTGCATCGCTCTGCACCGCACCACCGTCGTCTTTCCACGATCATCTGCGCTGGAGCCGTGCGCCACCCATTCCGAGGCCTTTCATCCTACTCGAGCGCCACTCCGGCATCTCGTTTGCTGCTTCGCATCGCCTCGCCTCGCTCTTCGCTCCAGGCAGTCGCGGCTCCTCTTCCTGATCACACAGTCGACGCGTCGATCGATTCAGGTCCCCATCGTCTCGCTCGTGCTCCGTGCCAAGTGGCAACGCAGGTCGCTGCGTCCGATTCCAGTCAGGGCCCCGCGAAGCAAAGTCACAGGGCTCTCTGTTGGTCGCTCGCTCACCACCCTCCATAGGCTCATCTCCCGCTAGTCATCCGCCACCATGGAGGCCATTCTCGACTTTGACAAGGACCTCGACATCGGTCTCTTGGACCGCGTCGTCGCCGCCATGTACACCGGCGCAGGACAGGACCAGAGGATGGCGCAGCAGACACTAGCCCAGTTCCAGGAGCATCCAGACGCCTGGCAGCGCGTGCCCCCCATCCTCCAGCAGAGCTCGTCGCCACAGACCAAGTACATCTCCCTCCAGATCCTCGACAAGCTCATCTCCACACGCTGGAAGGTCCTCCCCGAGGACCAGCAGCAGGGCATCCGCAACTTCATCGTAGAGATGATCATCCAGCACTCCTCCGACGAGGACAGCCTCAGGCGCGAAAAGACCTACGTCGGCAAGCTCAACACCACCCTCATCCAGATCCTCAAGCAGGAGTGGCCTCACAACTGGCCCTCCTTCATCCCCGAGATCGTATCCTCCTCCAAGGGCTCCCTCTCCATCTGCGAAAACAACATGGCCATCCTCCGCCTCCTCTCCGAAGAGATCTTCGACTACTCGGCCGAACAGATGACCACCTCCAAAACAAAGTCGCTCAAGAACCAGATGTGCGGCGAGTTCGGCGAGGTCTTCCAGCTCTGCTCCGAGGTGCTCGAAAAGGCCCAGAAGCCCAGCCTCATCAAGGCCACGCTCGAGACCATGCTGCGCTTCCTCAACTGGATCCCTCTCGGCTACATCTTCGAGACCAACGTGATCGACAACCTCATCGGCCGCTTCCTCGAGCAGCCCGAGTTCCGCAACGTCACCCTCAAGTGCCTCTCCGAGATCGCCAACCTCAGCGTCGGCCCCGAGTACGACCCCAAATTCATCGTCCTCTTCAACATGGTCATGACCTCGGTCAACCGCATGATCCCCCCCGCCACCAACATCGCAGCCGCCTACGAGACCAGCTCCGACGCAGAGCAGGAGCTCGTGCTCAACCTCGCCCTCTTCCTCTCCAACTTCCTCACCACCCACCTCAAGCTCGTCGAGAACCCGGACAACAAGGACGTCCTCCTCAACGCCCACATGTACCTCATCAAGGTCTCCCAGGTGCCCGAGCGCGAGGTCTTCAAGATCTGCCTCGAGTACTGGTCCAAGCTCGTCAGCGAGCTCTACGCAGAGCAGCAGTCCCAGCCCATCGCAGACATGAATCCGCTCCTCGGCCTCAACTTGGGCAACGGACTCAGCAACTCGGCCAACTCGGCCAACCTGCGCAAAAACATCTACGCCGACATCCTCTCCAACCTGCGCCTCGTCATGATCGAGCGCATGGTCAAGCCCGAGGAGGTGCTCATCGTCGAAAACGACGAGGGCGAGATCGTCCGCGAATTCATGAAGGAGAGCGACACCATCGTGCTCTACAAGAGCATGCGCGAGGTGCTCGTCTACCTCACCCACCTCGACGTGCTCGACACCGAAAACATCATGACCGAGAAGCTCGCAAAGCAGGTCGACGGTTCCGAGTGGTCGTGGGCCAACCTCAACACGCTCTGCTGGGCCATCGGCTCCATCTCGGGCGCCATGCACGAGGAGACCGAGAAGCGCTTCCTCGTCACCGTCATCAAGGACCTCCTCGGCCTCTGCGAGATGAAGCGCGGCAAGGACAACAAGGCCGTCGTCGCCTCCAACATCATGTACATCGTCGGCCAGTATCCGCGCTTCCTCAAGGCGCACTGGAAGTTCCTCAAGACCGTCGTCAACAAGAACTTCGAGTTCATGCACGAGAGCCACGAGGGCGTCCAGGACATGGCGTGCGACACCTACATCAAGATCGCCCAAAAGTGCCGCCGCCACTTTGTCATCCAGCAGGCGGGCGAGCAGGAGCCCTTCATCGACGAGATCCTGCGCAACCTTCACCGCATCACGCTCGACCTCTCGCCGCTCCAGGTGCACACCTTCTACGAGGCCGTCGGCTACATGATCGCGGCGCAGCCCAACCGCCCCACCCAGGAGCGTCTCATCGCCAAGCTCATGGAGCTGCCCAACAGCGCGTGGGACAGCCTCATGCAGCAGGCGCACAACAACGTCGACGTGCTCGGCAGCCCCGAGAACATCAAGATCCTCTCCAACGTGCTCAAGACCAACGTCTCGGCGTGCGTCTCGATCGGCACCTACTTTTTGCCCCAGATCGGCCGCATCTACCTCGACATGCTCGCGCTCTACCGCAGCGTCAGTGGCATCATCAGCGCCAAGGTCGAGGCTGAGGGTCTCATCGCTACCAAGACGCCCATGGTGCGCGGCCTGCGCACCATCAAGAAGGAGATCCTGCGTCTCGTCGAGACCTACGTCCGTCACGCCGAGGACCTCGAGGCGGTCAACGTCAACCTCATCCCATCGTTGCTCGATGCGATCCTGGGCGACTACAACCGCAACGTGCCGGCGGCGCGCGACGCCGAGGTGCTCAACGTCATGGCCACCATCACATCGCGGCTGCAGGGCCTGCTGACGGACAAGATCGCGCCCATCCTGGACGCCGTGTTCGAGCCGACGCTCAACATGATCAACCAGGACTTCGCCGAGTTCCCCGAGCACCGCGTCGGCTTCTTCAAGCTGCTGCGCGCCATCAACCTCTACTGCTTCCCGGCGCTGCTGGAGCTGCCACCGCCCAAGTTCAAGCTGGTGGTCGACAGCATCATCTGGGCCATCAAGCACACCATGCGCGACATTGCCGACACGGGTCTCAACATCTGCCTCGAGCTGCTCAACAACATCTCGGGCTCGCCGCTCGAGGTGGCCAACGGCTTCTACCAGCAGTATCTGCTCAACATCATCCAGGACATCTTCTTTGTGCTGACCGATTCGGACCACAAGAGCGGCTTCAAGACGCAGTGCCAGCTGCTGGCGCGCATCTTTGAGCTCATCGAGACGGACCGCGTGACGGCGCCGCTGTGGGATGCGAGCACGCAGACGGATGCCAGCATGAACAATCGGCTGTTCATCCGCCAGTACACGTCGAATCTTCTCCGGACGGCGTTCCCGCACATGCAGGCCGAGTACGTGGACCACTTTGTCAACGGCCTCTGCATGCACTCGAGCGACCTGATCGCGTACAAGCTGCATCTGCGCGACTTTTTGATCACGTCGCGCGAGATGTTTGGCGGCAGCGCAGGTCAGGTGGACAATGCGGATCTCTTCCAGGAGGACAAGGAGGCCGAGGCGCAGAGGAAGGCGGCCGCCGAGAGGGAGGCCGCGGCCAAGGTGCCCGGTATGCTCAAGCCGTCGCAGATCAAGGAGGAGGACGAGGAGCTGTGACTGATTCGCGAGCTGCTTTACTGAGCAGCCGCAGCCCCCCAGCTCGGCAGAGGGCCGATGCATACATTTTACCGGTCCTTTGCTACCCACCAAAAGTTGTTCCACACGTCCCTACTTTGGCTCATACCATTCGTATCGTTCTAGTCCTTCTGCAGGCGAGTGGATGTGCATTGAAGACGCGAGGGCTAGCGGAAGGTGAACATGAGGAGGAGGACGGTGAGGGAACCTATTAAGCAGGCGATGATGACCGAGTCGCGTCGACGGCGGCGGGCGATGAGGGTGATGATGCTGTTGATGCCGGGTACCTGTGCGGCGGTGGAAGACATGCGTGCTGAGATGGACGAGAGGACGTTGCGTTGGTCGGCGAATTCGCTGCGTGTTGCGTAGGCTTGTCTGCGAACAACCACGCGAGGACAAAAGTATGTCAGGCTTTCGAAGATGCATGGTAGGAAGCTGGAAAGAGGAGTACGTACTCTAGAGTGCTATCGATCATGGCGTGTGAATTGTCGATGTGTCCGCGTTCGGCCAGGAGGGCGTCTGCATCACTTTCATGTGCCGCCTTGTACGCACTGCCGGGACCATCCACCTGTCAGTCTCCATGCTCCACAGTACTGCAAGTGGATGGACTTACTTTATATCTCCATGGATGTTTCCTAGCAGATCCCTACGATCGATCGCATGCCTGACGTTGGACCTTGATCTGCGAAAGTCGCGTGTAAAGTCAAACAGCACTTCTCGATGTCGTTGGACGGCATGCAGCTGTGCTGCGCTGGGCGGTGTTTCTGGATCGTCGAGTTTTGCGGTCAAAGCATCTACTGCTTCACTGAGCTGGCCAATCAGCCCGTCCAGTTCGGTTTCGAGCTCAACGCGCTCGCTGTCGTGTGTGCGCGAGGTACCGTCCATGTCCAAGCTCGTATGGTCCGCGTAAACGCCCGCCGAGGGGTCGGCAGTGCGCGCGATCTGCGACGCTAGCGACGAGTAGGTGGTGAGCCGCGCATCGATCGTAGTTTCTAGCTGACGCGTCTTGCGCCGTAACGCGTCCCAGGACGAGCCTGCCATCGTGTCCAAGAGCGAGTGCGGATAGAGCGATGGTGTGGAAGCTCGATATGCGCACAGACAGTCGGTGAGGTGGACCCCACACGTCAAATCTCGGAACCCGGACACTTGACCGGCGCCGGGATCTCTCGTACGAGTGAGTAGAGTCCGCCTTCACCAGCGACGACGATCCAGGGTTCAACTGGCTCAACCAACACTGCAAAGCCCGCCCTGAGCCAGCGTTCGAGAGCAAAGCTGACACCGGATCGCGAGACTCACACTAGCAGCCTTTCTCGGATGCGGCGTGCGGTCATTCGAGGGAGGGCGATCGCAGGTGCCGCAGGCGAGGCGAGGCAGGCGAGGCAGGCGAGGCAGACGACTCCGACGAGGCAGCCGGCTGTGAATGCGGCGGACGGGGAAGCGCGCAGCGGTGTGAGACCGCGATCGACACCCACAGCCACGACTCAGCGGTCCAGCTCCAGCGCACTTTTGCGGCGCGCCTCATCCGCCGCACTTGAGCGGCTTACTAACCCGCCGAAAGACCGCACCGCACGCTGATGGGCAGCCGCATCCGCTTTTCCGTGCCAGTTGCCCGCGGAGGCCGCAGCAGCCGCCCCTTCCTCGCCTCGTC